AAAACTACTGGAAGTGATAAATAAATTCAGTAAAATTGTAGAATACAAAATCAATATATACAGAAGTCTGTTGCATTTCTATGCACTAATAATGAAAGGGAAGAAAGAGAAATTGAAGAAAATGATCTCATTCACAACTGCACCAAAAAGAGGAAAATGCCTAGGAATAAACCTAACCAAAGGAGCGAAAGACCTGTACTCTGAAAACTATAAAACATTGATGAAAGAAATCGAAGATGACAAACAATTGGAAAGATATTCCATGCTCATGGATTAGAACAAATATTGTTAAAATGTCCATACTACCTACAGATTTGATACAATCTTATCAAAATACCAACAGCATTCTTTACACAACTAGAACAAATAATCCTAAAGTTTGTATGGAACCACAAAAGACCCTGAGTAGCCAAAGCAATCTTGAAAAAGAACAAAACTGGAGGTATAAGAATCCCAGACTTCAAAATATACTACAGAACTGTAGTAGTCAAAGCTGACACAAAAATAGACCCATGGGGAAAGCCCAGATATAAACCCATGATTATATGCTCAATTAATCTATGACAAAGGAGGCAAAAATATGCAATGGGAGAAAGACTCTTCACAAATGGTGTTAGGAAAATTGGACAGCTACATGCAAAAGAATGACACTGGACCACTTTCTCACATGCACACAAACATAAACTCAAAAGGTATGAAAGACCTAAATATGAGACCTGAAACCATAGAAAATTCTAGCAGAGAATACAGGCAGTAATTTCTTTGACATAAGCCAGAGCAACCTTTTCTAGCTATGTCTCTTGAGGCAAGAGAAACAAAAGCAAAACTGAACTTTTGGGACCATAGCAAAAAAAAAAAAAAAAGTTCCCATAGCACAGCAAAGGAAACAATCAATAGAACTAAAAGACAACCCACTAAAAGGGAGAGGGTAATTGCAAATGACATATTCAAGAAGGGGTTAATACCCAAATCATATGAAGAATTTTAGGGCACCTGCGTGGCTCAGGAGATTAAGCATCTGACTCTTGATCTCAGGGTTGTGAGTTCAAGACCCATGTTGGGATTCACATGGGGCATGAAGCCTACTTTAAATGTGCTAATTTAAATATACTTAACGTGTGTGTGTGTGTACACACACATACACAATGTGACACCAAAATATAATCCACTTAAAAGTGGACAGGAGACACAACATGTCTCCAGAGACAAGGGAAACAAAAGCAAAAAAGAACTGTTGACCTCATCAAAATAAAAAGCTTCTGCACAGCAAAGGGAACAATCAACAAAACTGAAAGGCAACTGATGGAACAGGAGAAGATACTTGCAAACGACATATCAGATAAAGGGTTAGTATCCAAGATCTATAGAGAACTTATCAAACTCAATACCCAAAAAACAATCCAATAAAGAAATGGACAAAAGACATGAATAGGCACTTCTCCAAAGACATCCAGATGGCCAACTGACACATGAAAAAATGCTCAACATCACTCATCATCAGGGGAAATACAAATCAAAACCACAATGAGATACCACCTCACCCCATCAGAATGGCTAACATTAACAACTCAGGCAACAACAGATGTTGGCGAGGACGCAGAGAAAGAGGATCTCTTTTGCACTGCTGGTGGGATGCAAACTGGTGCAGCCACTCTGGAACACAGTATGGCGGTTCTGTAAAAAATTAAAAATAGAACTACCCTACGACCCAGCAGTTGCACTGCTAGGTATTTATCCAAGGGATACAGGTGTGCTGTTTCAAAGGGGCATATGCACCCCAATGTGTATAGCAGTGCTATCGGCAACAGCCAAAGTATGGAAAGAGCCTAAATGTCCATCGATGGATGAATGGATAAAGAAGATGTGGTATATAAATACAGTGTAGTATTACTCGGCAATCAAAAAGAATGACATCTGGCCATTTGCAACTATGTGGATGGAACTAGAGGGTATCATGCTAAGCAAAATTAGAGAAAGGCAAATATCATACGACTTCATTCATATGAGGAATTTAAGATACAAAACAGATGAACATAGAAGGGAAGCAAAAATAATATAAAAACAGGGAGGGGGATAAAACATAAGAGACTCTTAAATATGGAGAACACACAGAGGGTTACTGGAGGGGTTGTGGGAGGGGGGATGGGCTACATGGGTAAGGAGCATTAAGGAATCTACTCCTGAAATCACTGTTAACTAACTCGGATGTAAATTAAAAAATACATTTTTAAAAAATGGACAGAAGACATGAACAGACATTTCTCCAAAGAAGACAGATGGCCAACAGACACTTGAAAAGCTGCTCAACATCACTCATCTTCAGGAAAATGCAAATCAAAACCACCATGAGATGCCACTTCACACCCGTTAACAACTAAAATCACAAGAAACAACAAGTGTTGGTGAGGATGTGGAGCAAGGAACCCTTGTGCACTGTGGATGAGAATACAAACCGGTGCGGCCACTGTGGAAAACAGTATAGACGTTACTCAGAAAGTTCAAACAGAATTACCATGTGAGCCAGTAATTGCACTACTGGGTATTTATCCAAAGAATGTGAAAACACTGATTCAGAAAGGTGCACCCCTCTGTTTATTGCATTATTTACAACAGCCAAACTATGGCAGCAGCCCAAGTGTCCACAGATAGATGAATGGATAAAGAAGTTATGGTATAAATGTACAATGGAATATTTCAAGGATGAAATCTTGCCATCTGCAACAACATGGATGGATCTAGAGGGTAGTATGCTAAGTGAAAACAGAGAAAGACAAATACCATAAGATTTCACTCATATGTGGAATTTAAGAAACAAGACAAGCAAAAAGCAAACATACTCTTAAATATAGAGAATGGGTGGTTGTCAGAGGGGTGGCAGGTGGGGGGATGGGTAAAATAGATGAAGAGGATTAAGAGCACACTTATCGGGCTCCTGGGTGGCTCAGTCCGTTAAGCGTCTGACTCTTGATTTCAGCTCAGGTCATGATTCAGTTTGTGAGATCGAGCCCCACATCCAGCTCCAAGCTGACAGGAGCCTGATTGGGATCCTCTCTCCCTCTCTCTCTGCCCCTCTCCCACTCACGCAAGCGCACATGTGCTTAAAATAAGTAATAAAATAATTCAATAACATAATAAAGAGTACATTTAGCATGCTGAGCACTGAGTAATGTACAGAATTGTTGACTTACTATAACACTGTGTGTTAATTATACTGGGATTTTTAAAAAATTTTTTAAATTAAAAAATAAAGGGAAAAGAGTGAATCATGGATTTCTTTGGAGTTCCCTTTAGTTCTGAAGTAGGGAGGAGTAAGAACAAGGTTGGAAACATAGGTTGATGCTTATCAATGTCTTGTATATTTAAAAGAAGAGCCCCATTGCACACTCAGGATGGTAGAATGAGGCGCGGCATTCAGCCAACAACAGTGTTGGGTCTCCATAAAAGTCCCCCAGTCTCTGGGCGTTGGAGACCAAGATGGCAGCACACCAGGCCAGTGAGGCCTTCTGTTTCCTATTCTTGGTGGATTGTGAGGATTGGTTCACACTGGGAATGATGGCCTTGAGTGGGAAACTGATGTTCCTAGAATTTAGAGGAACGCACACACCTTCCCTTCAGGCCCTATTGAGGCCACTAGTTCTTGGCCTGATGCCTCCTTGGCTGTAAACCCTTTAGGAAAGGGTTCTGTCTCCCAGTGGTGCTGAGTAGAGTGCCCTGTCCACTGTGAGGTCTGGACAGATGTTCGAATGGGTACATCAGCGGATGAATATGGCCGAGAGGAAAAGCTCTAAGTAGTATATTTGGGTTCCTCATGATATAATCCAGACTCACACAGCTTTATGCACAAAAGCAAATGCACTGACTAATGTAACAAAAGCCCAGGATTCAGCAGTGTGTGGACCTAAGTATTCAGGTGACATCACTGGGAATGCATCCCTCTGTCTTTCCGCTCATCTTTCCTTTGTGTCCTTCATTCGCAATCTAATTGTCGCTGCACAGTGGCCCTCTTCTCTGCTCCCAAGCCCCAGGCTGCCATCGTCACAGCTCAGCTCCTTGAGAGGAAAATGAACAGGGAACGGAGGAAAGTGGGTTCCCAGAGGAAAATCAAGACCCTGCTACCAGAAGCAGCACAGAGCAACAGACATTCACAACAGTAGGCTTGCAGAGAAATTGGATCCCCTCTAAAGTAGATCAGACAAGGGACACTTGTGCATCAGTTAAGCATCCAAATCTTGACTTCAGCTTAGGTCATGATCTCACAGTTCATGAGATCAAGCCCTGCGTCAGGCTATGTGCTAACAACGTGGAGCCTGCTTGGGATTGTCTCTCCCTCTCTCTCTGCCCCTGCCCTGTATACACCTGTGCACGCTCTCTCCCCCCGTCTCCCAAATAAACTTCAAAGAAAATAAAGTAGATCAGTCAAATGCCAGACCCTTCATGCTTCAATCAAGAAGATGGGAGTACTGGACCTCAGGGTAGTGGAAAGTGGGCGGCCTTGGTTGCCAGGAAGACCTGAGTCTGAATACGGGGCCTGTCGCTTGCTCACTGTGTGATCTTCCCTCCTCCTTTCCAGCCAGAGTATCAGCTCCAAAGGGCAGTTGCCCCACTCTAGTTTCTATGAGTGCGTCCCCAGTGCTGGTAGCATGCTACCTGGCACAGTGGCGGGTACTTGACACTGTTAAGTCAATGTCATTTCAAGGTGGTTGTACGGAGCCGTTGGGGGGGGGGGTAGGGATGGCAAATGTGAAGCTCTAGGAAAATGCCAGGCACATAGAAGGTGATGGGTAAGTCACAGAGTTGACCACTGCTGTTGATCTAGAAAGGAAATATTGTGGGACAAAGAACAAAAGGAGTTGAGACAGCTGGTGGAGGATTAGGAATGAAGACAGGCCGTTTAGGTGGCCAGCAGCACCTGCCATCGGGGCGGCGGCTATGGCCAAGTGGCAATATCCCACGCCAGCACTGAATTCTTACCCCCCCTCCCCCTTGTGTCCCCTCTGCAGCTGGAGCTCTCGAACACCGCCGTCCTGCACCAGATGAGGCGGGACCAGGTCACAGACACCTGCCGGGCCAACAGCGCAGTGAGCCGCAAGCGGCGCGTGCTGACCCCCAGCGACCTGAGGCACCTCGTGGTGGATGAGGACCACGAGCTCATCTACTGCTATGTGCCCAAGGTGGCCTGCACCAACTGGAAACGGCTCATGATGGTGCTCACCGGCCGGGGCAAGTACAGCGACCCCATGGAGATCCCGGCTAACGAGGCGCACGTGGCGGCCAACCTCAAGACCCTGAACCAGTACAGCATCCCCGAGATCAACCACCGCTTGAAAAGCTACATGAAGTTCTTGTTCGTGCGGGAGCCCTTTGAGCGGCTGGTGTCGGCCTACCGGAACAAGTTCACGCAGAAGTACAACACGTCCTTCCACAAGCGCTACGGCACCAAGATCATCCGGCGCCAGCGCAAAAATGCCACCCAGGAGGCGCTGCGCAGGGGCGACGACGTCAGGTTCGAGGAGTTCGTGGCCTATCTCATCGACCCGCACACGCAGCGCGAGGAGCCCTTCAACGAGCACTGGCAGACCGTGCACTCGCTGTGCCACCCGTGCCACATCCACTACGACCTCGTGGGCAAGTACGAGACGCTGGAGGAGGACTCCAACTATGTCCTGCGGCTGGCAGGGGTGGGCAGCTACCTCAAGTTCCCCACCTACGCCAAGTCGACGAGAACTACTGACGAAATGACCACAGAGTTCTTCCAGAACATCAGCTCCGAGCACCAAACGCAGCTGTACGAAGTCTACAAACTCGACTTTTTAATGTTCAATTACTCAGTGCCAAGCTACCTGAAATTGGAATAGGGGGAGGGGGGGGTGGGAGAGGGAGAGAGTCGTGCTTTTTAATTTAAGATTTTTATTTGTCAAAAGAATTCTATGGATAGTGGGTTATTTTGTAAATTAATATTTCTTTGGGGATGATGCTGCGAGCAGCATGGTGAGAATTATTTAAAATCCTTAGTAGGGAAGGACGGCTAGGCAGCCTTTGCAGGGGAATGGGATGGGTGTTCTTGGTCTTAGACGTGAATACTGCAACACTGTCTCGGAGGTGTAACTTGTGCTCTGGTGAATTCCATGAATCGTGCATCCCATAAATTCTAATTAATATTATTTATAGTTATTTAAACATGGTCTCTGTATAGATTTATTTTTGTGGCAGCAAGATTCTGAGGTCTTTGCAGAAGAAATGTTTTGCTCTGTGCTTGCTAGAGCTCATTTGGGGACACGGATGCCCACCTTGCTAACCACGCTCGGAGCAAGCTGTGTGATGACACCCATGGCGAGGTCTGTCCTGCCGCCATTCTTGAAATTCTGTGACAAATAAATAGAAATAGGCACCTTTGCAAGGGACTAATTCCGGACAGATTCCCAATCACCCAGGAGTCCCCTTACACTAAGAAAAGAAAAAATGTTTTTCTTTTTAACCCAAGGAGAAGAGTTGATCGTAGTTTTTTTTTCCTTTTTCACCAGAAATAGTGGTCTGTTAGAATAGGCTTTCCTACAGAAATTTTTAACTGGCAGTGCCAGTTGTGATGGTGAAGTGGCTGTTGCTTTATATTCGACATGTATTTATTTAGCAACTACTATGTGCTTGGCCTAATTTTAGGCCCAGCGGATAGAGCATTGAGCACAACCAATAGTCTCGGCCCTCAAGAAGCTTTATGTGAACACAGTACCCAGCTCAGCAATTAGCAAACCCCTGATATTCGTGGACTTACCATGAGGTTTGCACTGTTTTGAACAACCCCAGAATGTCTATGATGCCTACAAATTTGCCTTTTTCTCTGGCCCAAATTTGAAAACAACACACTTAGAACACGCCACTTGTGAGTAATCCAAGTTCATTGCCCAACCCAAGAGATGACAAAAAGCATGTGCCCACTCCAGTGTATCCGTAGTGTCTGCCTTTAAGCCCCCCATTTGCCAGGCATCGCATGGAAGGGTGCTGTGGCTGATTGGTCCTGCCTGCCTTGGGCGAGGGAAGGGGAACATTCGCCCAGTGCCTCTCCCTGTCGCCTCAGTCCAGCATCCACATCTCCGTGTAGAAATGTTCTCTCTTCTTGGCCACGCGCAAGAGGGAGATGCCGTGACAGGCCTCATACGTTTGCGATTTGCAGTGCTCTGGCATTTCTCCCCTCGTGAAGATCAGGGGTGCGCCGTTCGTACACACGGCACATGCAGCCCCTCCCAAGGCCTCCAGAGGCTGAGACCTTGAGCACCTTTGCGACCACCGTGCGTGCGTGAGCAGCAAGGACAGCTTTCCGGGACTGCAGTCCACGCCCCCTTTGCTGCGGAAGGCCAGAAATGGTCTACTTCCTGTTTGTTACGGATTCACGTCTGCACACGCTTCTCATTTCCAGCCATTTCGATGCCTTGGTTGAAGTTTGAGCCACATCCCTCTTACAACTAGCGTATGAGTTGGTAGCAGCTCCTGTACATAATAATAATAATTATAGTTCTAATAGGGGGTGGGGCGGGATGGGGTGTGGGTTTTGCTTTTTGTTTTTGATGCAGTATATAGCGAAGGGGTGAGAATATTCTAAACAAAAAATGAATAATTTATTCACAGAAACGATTGAAATTGTAAAGCTCAGAGCCGACCCAGCCACAGCTGCTACATCTCACCAAGAAAATTATTATATTGAATGTGAGTGAGGTGTGCACTGGAGAGGGTGGCCAAGGCTTTTTATAAAATGTGTACCATCTTCCAAGCTCTCTCCCTTTTGGGAAGGGCACAGCAACTATTCCCTCCATGGGTAGAGATATTATGCAGTGTTTTACTGAATAGAGTGACAGACGTCAACTGTCCCTGGAGTTGGGAGTCTGGGTCCTGTTTCCAATCAGGGGACACTGTCCCCTGAAATAGGGCTTCTGCTAATGACACACTGTCCGACATTTCCTGATAGGTGCCCCCACAGAACAAAGGTTCTAGGGGGTGTAAAGTTAGTGTGATGAAAAAAGGGGGGGGAAGCATTTTTGAGGTCGTATACCCTTGGGAAACAAAATTAAGTCAATTTCCTTTCTACAGGACTTTTCAGAGCCCTGGATGTGTGCCATGCATTGTGAATCCCCAAAAGCATCCTTGAGTTGGTAGCACATGTGGCCAGGACTGTGTTTTGCAGATCTCAGCGATGCTGCACAGATTATACTCTGGTTGGGCTGATTTAGCATATCTGAGGTCTTCCAAGGATAAAACTACGTCCTTGACCCTTCTCCAAAACAAAACAATAAGACACCAGTCTCTAGCTGGTTTATAACAACAGAGGTACTTTATCAAATGAATGAAAGTTTTACATCACTGCAATGGTTTTCATCCTGGATTCTACCCTGGGCAATGATTCCATCCCTCCTGAAGGGAGCAGGGGATTGTTATGTGTGGTGTGGACCGAGAAGGGGAGGAAGGGGTGGCATCAGGCCACAGAGCGGTCCCTACTCCTCAAGCCTTAGGTTGCTCAATGCGAGCAGAGTGAGCTCAACCCTTGACCAGTACTTCTTCAATTCCAGAGTTTGGAATTGTTCACCCTGTGCTTTTTTGGTTTTTCCAATGGAAATTCTCATCGATTTCCCAAGTTTTGCATTCCCGCCTCCATCTCTGTTGGGTCACGTGAGCTTGCTCGTGCGTGTGCAGAGCGCCAGTTTTCACCTCTTCTCTCAAGTGAGCAAGACTGTCCTTCAAGGGACAAGACTTCAGTGTCGTTCTGCAATGAGGGACTTTTCTCCTTGTGCTTTATGTTCATGCTTTATTTCCTAATGGCATAATGACTTTAAAATATCGAATCAACTGTTCTGCAGAATATAGAAAGTATTCTGTATCCTTGGTATAAAAGAATCCATGGGTAAAAATGTGCCTGGGAAGCAAAGGCTTGTTTGGGGGGGGGGGGGGTTGAGTATTTTTGTTTTTTTAAGGAAAACTATTTAAAAACGCTTTTCATTGCATGCTTAGCTGGAGAAAAGTACAGGTAGGCGTCCCAACTCCAAGCCACTTTTCAAAGGTGATGCAGTGTTTTCAAAACCAGGTACAGTGAGGGTAGTGTTTACAAGGACATTCCTGCTTAACCTATCCCTTTGGTTGGAAAACACTAGAACATTAGCCACAGAGTTTGAATTCCTGCAGCTTCTCCGGACAACCCCTCCACCACCCCCATTCCCAGCTGGTCTGGGAAGAAAGGCTTCTGCTGACCTGTGTCGTCTCCGAGGGGACCTTCCTACCTGTCCCCCAGGTGAGCTTCACCCTCCTGGTAACAAGGGTGCAGAAGCATAAGGGGCTACTTCCTGCTGGTAGAAAGTTCCCAGAGAAAAAGCAAGTCGCTAGCACACTTAGATGGTGGGGTCTGGGCCACCGCTGAGTTAGTGATTACAGAAGTTCCTCACGCGGTCTTAGCTGCCCTGTTCTGTGCTGTCCTTACGACCAGAATCCCACTCCTCGCCCACTCCTGTGTCAGCCGGACTGACCATACGGCCACCCCCAAGTTCTCACAACCAGTACTTCTTCCAGACTTTTCTCATCACGACTGACTGGACGCTATGGTCCTGGCAACAGGACCCACCATAACCAGCTTGACCCTTGGCTGTTCACAGGCGAATCTCAGTTTGCTACTCTTTATCAGGTACAGAAGGAGCCGCCCATACTATTTTCTTATGAGCATGCTCAGTATGGTATATGCACATATAATTTAACATCTTTGTGGAGTGTGATTTTTTTTTTACATATTTGTATGCAGTAGAGGGCTTGTTTTAGAAAACTCTCCCTGTATCTTACTGTACTGTTCAAGAAAGCTGAATTCCACATTGCCAACAAAAGCGTGAAATGTTCATGAACCTTCCTCCAGGAAAAGCCATTCAAGCCTGATTATTTTTCTAAGTAACTTCAATTAAATTGAAGAAAAAAAAAGCTTCTCTCTGTGTATAGTTTGTTCATGGCTCACTGACAAAAGACTGTAGGGGTTGGGTGGGCTGTGTTCCTTGGCATGTGGGGGGCCCTGTTCGTGTGCAGCAAAGGATGGAGAGGGAGAGACGAGATGTGGACCCCATTGGCAGTCTTGGCCATGGTAAAGGCCGCCACCGATCTGAACCCTTCCTGTGTAGTGGATGAATGGGAGCTTGCTTCCTTCCTGTTTTGTCTACAAACTCTGCAGAGTGATGCGTACCTCATGATCACGTAGTCCCACCATCCATGTGAAAAATAAGGAAACAGAGTCTCTGAAAGGTTAAATGACTTAGGTGACAAAGCCAGTATTCCTGTGTGGGTGGATGTGCCTTCAGAGCCCCCATTCGTTGGCCACCAGATGACATGCCACCAAGAGGCTATCTACTGTCCAGAAACTGCAGACCTGCCCTGTGAACCCCAATTTTCCTGTTCCAAACCCATTCTTTTTCAGATGCCCCAGATAGCCCCAAGCTGTTTCTCTATTCTAATTTTTTAAAGGTACATCTAAACATTTAACATGAGAGTACTGGATTTAAAAATGTATCCCATTTCCACCCGTGCCAGATAGGGTTTGTAACATGCCCGCCCACCATGGCCAGCTCCCACCCATTCCTGGTGTCACAGCTGTCCTTGCTCTGGTCCCATCTGGTCAGGAGATGTCCAGACCTTGGAGCTTAGTTGTCTTAAATTAATGGAGAATGCACTTCTTTTTAATGTAGTAAGTGGACATAACTTGGTCATGTCCTGTCCCTGTCTCATCTGGGACAGTGGGAAATGGCAGTGGGAAGCAAGGCTGAATGAGAACATCTCCAGTCTTTGATAATTCTTGGAATAAGACCGAAATGCCCTCTTGTCAGTGGCTAGCTAATCGGTCAGTATTTCTGATGAGGCCAGCGGTGCCCCTGACATCTGTGGAGCCTGTGGCCTAGACTGTTGTCGGGGCTGGGCCAGGGTGAGGTCATTATTGACCCACCTCCAAGTGAACAACAAAAGCACCAGGCAGAATCATTAGCATCTAGTGGCAAAGTGTCCTTTCTTGGGAAAAGCTCTTCTTTCTCAAGTTATGTCTTTCCTACATGTCTGGTGTTCAGATAACCTTTATGATAATAGACATTGACTGATGTAAGAAAATAAGATATCAGCAGTTCCAGGTCAGCCCCCAAAGTGTTTTCAAACATTTTCTCAAGAAAATCACAATATCCAAAAAGATTAGGAACCATTGGCCAAGAAGACATTGGAGGGGGCAGACTCCTGAGGGCTTGGTGGAGAACAGATCTCTGCGGAGGGAAAAATCCCTCTCGGAGTGCAGGTCTGGGCTTTGCGCAGCTGGTACCCACATTCCTGCTGGCACATTGTGGCCAATGCTTCTGGCTCCTTGGGGTCCCAGATGACTTACAGGAAGTGGGTGGGAAGACTAGTCCAGTCTACATTCACCACAGGCAGCCTATCAGACATCTTAGGTCTGGTGTTTCCAATATGAACAGTAAGGGAGATTCTAGCAAGACTGACATGAAAAACAAGCAACCTTTCCCCCATTTTACAATCATCCCTCGGCACCAACGTCTTCCCCACATCACAACATCCCCTGGATAGAACAGTCAGAGTGGAAGCAGCCTGCTGATTTCAAAACACATAGCTGGCTAGGAACTATTCACGAACGTTCCCTCTTGGAAATAGAGGAAACAGTAATAGCTGAATTATTTATCTCAGTTGAGATAAATAAGAGCCCTTGAGGTTGCTAGCCCTAGGTCATCCACCAAGGAGCTGTGTGTCCCCTAGAGGTAATCACTTCCTGTTTGGGCCTCACGTCCCTTACCTGTGAAATGTAAGAATTGAGCTAGATCTGTGATTTTTCAATTAAAAAGAAAAATGAGCCTCTTTTTTTTTTTTTTTGTATGTTAAACGCTCATCTGTAAAATAGATGAAGCAGAGATGCTGTGATTGAATAGTTTGAGGACCACCTGAGCTCTTTTCCCCATAAAATTCCTGTGGACCTCCATGGACCCCTTGGGTTGTAGGGAACACAGTTTTGGGAACTGTAAGTTAGGTGACCTCTGAGCCCTTCCAGCTTTGACATTCTCTAATGATCGGCCCAAACCCTCCTCTGTGGCTCTTTATGCCAAAAAGGGTGATTAGCAATTAGATGACACCATAGAAGTGTCAACTCCTCAAGAAGGGATGTAAAGGGAACAGCGTGAGAACAAGATTAAGATGGAAGAAATAAGGAAAAAGGA